TTTTTCACAGAGCTAGAACAAATAATTTTAAATTTTTATGGAAACAGAAAAGATCTGAATAGTCAAAACAATCTTGAAAAAGAAAAGCTGGAAGCATCATGCTTCTGATTTCAAAGCACACTACAAAGGTACAATAATCAAAACAGTATGGTACTTGGATGGGCACAAGCACACACACGGAGCATGAAAGAACAGAACAGAGCTCCCAGAAATGAACCCGTACTTCTATCAGCAATTAATCTATTAATACGACAAAGGAGGCAAGAATATACAATGGAGAAAAGACAACCTCTTCAATAAATTTGGGAAAACTAGACAGCTACATGCAATAGAACCAAACTAGACTACTCTCTCACATCATATACAAAAATAAACTAAAAATGGATTAAAGACATAAATGGAAGACCTAAAACCATAAAACTCCTAGAAGAAAACACAGGTGACAAACTCTTTGACATTGGTCTTAGCAATGTTTTTTTGGATACGTTACCTTGGGAAACACAAGAAGCAAAAACCAACCAATGGGACCTAATCAAACTTAAAAGCTTTTGCACGGCAAAGAAAATCATCAACAAAACAAAAAGACCACCTACTGAATGGGAGAACAGATTTGCAAACAATGTATCTGACAAGTGGTTAATATCCAAAATATACAAAGAACTCATACAACTAAATATCAAAAAAGAAAAAACACTATTAAAAAATGGGTAGAACACTTGAATAGACATTTTCCCAAAGAAGACAGACAGATGGCCAACAGGTACATGAAAAGATGCTCAACATCACTACTCATCAGGGAAATGCAAATCAAAACCACAATGGAGTATCACCTTACATCCATCAGGATGGCTACCATCACAAAGACCACAGATAAATAACAAGCTTTGGTGAATATGTGGAGAAAAAGAACCTGCGTGCATTACTGATGAGAAGGTAACTTGAAACGGCCACTATAGCAAACAATACGGAGAGCCCTCAAAAAATTTATAAGTAGAACTACCATACAGTTCTTCAATTTCACTCCTCGGTATTTACCAGAAGAAAATGAAAACGCTAACTAGAAAAAAATATATGCACAACCATGTTCACTGTGGCATTATTTACAGTAGCTGAGATGTGGAAGCAACCTAAGTGTCACAGTGGCATGTTCAGCTCAGTTCAGTCGCTCAGTCATGTCCGACTCTTTGTGACCCCATGAATTGCAGCACGCCAGGCCTTCCTGTCCATCACAAACTCCCAGAGTTTACTCAAACTCATGCCCATCGAGTCAGTGATGCCATCCAGCCATCTCATCCTCTGTCGTCCCCTTCTCCTCCTGCCCCCAATCCCTCCCAGCATCGTTGGTCTTTTCCAACGAGTCAACTCTTCGCATGAGGTGGCCAAAGTATTGGAATTTCAGCTTCAGCATCAGTTCTTCCAATGAACACCCAGGACTTATCTCCTTTAGGATGGACTGGTTGGATCTCCTTGCAGTCCAAGGGACTCTCAAGAGTCTTCTCCAACACCATAGTTTAGTATGTTAATCAGTCACAAAAAAGAATGAAATCTTGCCATTTGCAACAACATGGATGGATACAGTTGATAACTATGTAATATCTTTTTATGGTGACATATGTAAGTAGACTTATCATGATGATTATTTTGACAGGTATAGAAACATCAAATCATAATGTTTGTAACAGGAGCTAACACAGTGCTGCTGCTGCTAAGTTGCTTCAGTTGTGTCCGACTCTGTGCAACCCCATAGATGGCAGCCCACCAGGCTCCCCCGTCCCTGGGATTTTCCAGGCAAGAACACTGGAGTGGGTTGCCATTTCCTTCTCCAATGCACGAAAGTGAGAAGTGAAAGTGAAGTCACTCAGTCGTATCCGACTCTTAGCGACCCCATGGACTGCAGCCTACCGGGCTCCTCCGTCCATGGGATATTCCAGGCAAGAGTACTGGAGTGGGTTGCCATTGCCTCTTCCGACTAGTGCAGGTCAATTATTCTTCAAAAACTCACAGAAAAAGAGATCAGATTTGTGGTTATCAGAGGTGGGGGCTTGAGTTAGGAGGATGCGGAATTGAATGAAGGTAGCCAAAAGGTACAAACTTCCAGCTATAAGATAAATAAGTACTAGGAATGCAATACACAGCACGATAAATATAACTAACTCTGCTGTACATTATGCATGCATGAAAGTTACTAAGAGAGTAAATTCTAAGAGTTCTTATCACATAGAAGCAATTTTTTTTCCTACTTTAATCCTGCATCTCTATGAGATGAGGGATGGTCACTAAACTTACTGTGATCCTCATGTCACAATGTATGTAAGTCAAATCACTATGCTGTACACCTTAAACATATTCAGTGCCGTATGTCAATTATATCTCAGTAAAATTGGAAGGAAAACAAAAAACTTACATTAAAAAATAAATAAAATAAGAGGGTTAGTCTAGATGCATCTGCTGCAAGGTCCCTGCTAGCTCTGATCCCCTGGCAACTCAAGGTATTTCCAGTACAAGCTCCCTGAGAACAAGGAGCACATTTTCCTCACACCTGTACCCCAACACCCAGCCCTGCACCCAGCACGTGGCATGGGCAGAGCAGACAGTCAAGCGTACGGAATGGATAGCATCATCACATGTACACTACACCTTGATGCTTGACCTCAAGAGAACACTAGCAGACACTGTCAGGAAACGATGTGAACAAACAAGCCAATGAACAGGGCTGAGCTGCAAGGGAGTTGATAAAAGTCAAGCCAGAGTCCATGGTGTGACGATCCTGGAACAAGTAAGGTAAAAGGAAAGCCAAGGGAGAGCTGCTCTGAAAGAACACGAGTTGTCCTGGGAGCTCCAGGCCACTCATGCTTTTTCTCCAATGAGCTCCAAGAAACAAGCGGGGTAAAAATGCAAGCCTTGTAACAATTCAAAGTTCAATTTCATAACTCACAGCAAATATGAGTTTGAAATAAACTTCCCTTCAGTGGGTTGCTTTCTACAAAGGCATTCTCCTTACCCCTGCAGGCACTTTCACTAGAAGATGACAGGCATGTTCTCAGGCAAGGCTTCTCAAACTTTAATATGCCTGCAAATAACCTGGGGACCTTGTTAAAAACCACATCCTGATTCTAGGTTTGGGCTGGGGCCTGAATGCTACATCCCTGACAAGCTCCCGATGATGCCAGTGCTGCTGTTCAGGGGACCCATGATGTGAGTAGCAATTTCCAACTGCGGTTCTCAAACTCAACTGCATATTAGAATCTCTGGGGAGGGCGGGCTTACAAATTATGAACCCCATCCACAGAGATTCTGATTTAATTGGCATGAATGCAGTCTGGGCATTGGAATTTTTTTTTAAAGCTCCCCAGGTGATTCCATTATGCAGAAAAGTTTCAGGCTTCCCTGGTAGACGGCAGTAGACACCGGTTAGATCCCTGATCTGGGAAGGATTCCGCATGCCTCGGAGCAACAAAGTCCCGGCGCCGTAACTATTGAGCCTGTGCTCTAGAGCCTGGGAGCTACAATACTGAGTCCACGTGCTGCGACTACTGAAGCCCTCACACCCTAGAGCCCGTGCCCCGAAACAAGACACGTTACCACAGTGAGAAGCCCGCACATCACAGCTAGAACAACGAAGACCCAGCATGGCCAAAAATTAATTAATTAATTAATAAAAAATAAAATAAAGAAAAGTTTCATGCCTGATAAGTAGTCCTCTGTTTCCCTCTATCTGACATAAGAATAAAAGCGTCTCCTTCTAATTACTTCAAAAGCAGTATTCTAAGGACCCAAAATGTAGCCTCTAAATGGTCTATTCTCTTAGCAAGGAAATCAGCTTATTAATGATACCCAGTGTTCCACTTAGACTCTCAGCATGGTTTAGCTTTAACAAATTGGCTGAATTCTAGTCACTGGGTTGGTTTTACAACAGCTTCTATTGGCCTGTTGAAGGCCATGCCAGAGTGTATTAAACATTTAATCACTCATTCTGCTGACAATGGGCTTACAGAACTGCTGCTGGCCGTATGTGTGACTGGCACCCTTTCCCACTCAGGCCCCTGGCTGCCGCTCTGTCCAGGGAAGGTTTGGAAAGGGACCACCTGCTCCCTCGGCTTTGCACACAGCAGGTTTCAGCAAGCAACTGGGAAGACACAGAAAGGCCCCTTCTGAATCACTGTTGTGTTTAAAGTAATTCCCAGAAGAGCCAGGCATGACAATATATATTTTAAACACAAAAACAGGCAAATATAAACCAAACTGACATTACTGTACAGATCATTGTGGACTATTTACTCTCAGTTTTGTCAGGGAAGATAATAATGACAAGACTCTATACACAGACAAGTTCTCGTCCATATTTTTCTAAACAGGCATTAAAAACATTTTAGAATAATTTTTCTCTTATAGAGACATGGATGGACCTGGAGTGTGTCACACCAAGTGAAGTCAGTCAGAAAGAGAAAAATAAATACCGTGTGTTAACACATATAAGTGTGTCTAGAAAAATGGTATGGGTGACCCTATTTCCAAAGCAGGAACACAGATGCAGACATAAAGAATGGATATATGGACACAGTGGGGGAAGGAGAGGGTGGGATGATGTGGGAGATTAGGACTGACACATATGCACTGCCATACGTAAAACAGATAGGCAGTGGGAAACTGCTATAAAATACAGCAGGCTCGGCTCAGTGCTCCATGGGGACTTAGAGGGTAGGTTGGTGGTGGCGCTGAGAAGTTGAGGAGGGAGAGGATATATGTATACATACAGCTGATTCACTTTGTGGTACAGCAGAAATTAACACAACATTGTACAGCAATTATCTTCCAGTTTAAAAATATGTTCTTCTTAGGTATCTACGGTAAATTACAATCAGGTAAGTATTAGCAGATGAATAATGCCCTAGAACACATCTCCCCATCTGGAAGGAGAGTTTCTCCCACATATATTATCTCCGGCAAAGAAAAGTGCCTCTTTTGTCCCAGGAATGTAGCTGATAGATCCCTCTACTTACCAGTGTAGTTTGCAGAATAGTTGTTTGGATCTAGAAACTTCTTAACCAGCTCACAATTAGACAAGATATGATTTGTGGTGATAACGTTGAGATAGTTCTGAAGACCTTTCTGCCTCTCAGCTATGAATTCACGATCCATGTTACCAATCAATTTTTTGGGAGGAAGAGGTAGACTTAGGCCTGCAATCTTTAATTAAAAAGAAAAAAGAAAAGTATTATACTCATGTCATCCACAAATAAGACAGAGTAGCAGAATCCTGAGCCAACAGGTTTCGTTAGGTCTAAAACATTTCAGGATACATCCTCATCAGTTGTATTGTAAATATGTGAAAACCTGTACATCTTAGAACTGATAAAATGCTTTACTAAGTATAGCAACTTTAAGACTTAATTTTTTAAATGAAATTTACACATGAACATATTTTCCGAGAGTCAAATACTTCTTTTGTTTATTACTGCTGGCAGTCCTGTGATGCTCGCCCCCTACCACCCCAGCCGAAAGGTATCCATTCCCTACTCCCCAAAGGTGGCCACGTTCAACTCTTTCAGCTGATCTTTTGGAAGAAGTGACGGTTTACATTGTTATGCCTCGATTTTTTACTTTTAGGCATTATCTGTAAGTTTCTCATTATAGGAGATGAGGGTTAAGTTCTCTTTCACAACCTGATCTCATCCACACACATTCTATTCCTAATTCTTCTAACATCATGATGCTATCTTTTAAGTAAGTGCAGCATGCATGCTTACATTAGGTAAATGATACTTGCAATTGAGCCAAAGAGCATGCTTCTCCTCCTTTCTGTCAACTAACATTTTTTTTCTAGTTTTCGTTTCAACTCCAAACTCTCCATTTAAGCCTTCAACGCACTGAGATACAAAGATGAATCAATGTCATCTTCTTGAAGAGCACTTTCCAGAGCCCAGAAACCTGTTCCGAGCAGGACAGGTGACCCCCAGACCTGCGGCAAGACTGGCATCCCGGGACCTCCCTTCACCACCATGCTAGAGAAGCCTCTGCCCTTTCCCCTGCTAGGCCCCATTTCTATACCCACGCCTGCCTTTTTCTTAGATAGTCCCCGCACTTTTGGTGGAGATACCATCTGTCAGCTTTCCAGAAAGGAAGAATTGTTTGAAACCTTGCACATTAACAAAAAATGTCTTTATTTGGAATTTCCTGGTGGTCTGTGAGTAGGGCTCTGACTTACCACTGCCGGGGTCAAGGGTTCCACCCCTGACTGGTAGTGGGGGTTGGGGGCTGGGGGGTTGACTGAGATTTCACATGCCTCACGTGGAATTAGTATAAAAAGAGAGAGAAAAGAAAATTTTTTTTTTATAAGAAGTCTTTATTCTACTCTCACACCTGGTTGATAATGAGCCTTGATAAGGAACTCTAAATCGGAAATATTTGTTCTTCAGAATTTTCAGAAACTACACTATTGTCTTTTAGTCGCCAGTTCAAACAGTAGTTTCCTGATTCTAGTTTTTTTCTGCCTGGAAGCTTTTAGGATCTTCTTTTTGACCTGTTTGTGAATCCCACCTGCCTTTAATGTGGCTCTGCGTTCATTCTCTGTACTGAATACTCAGCCCTTTCACTCCAGAAATTAATATCCTTATATTTGTTGGTATTGTCTTGCATTAGGTCATTATTCCTTTCTCTCCATGCCCTATGCTTTCTTTTTCTGGAACTCCTGTTTTCCAAAATTGGACCTTCTGGACTGGTCGGTCCTCTGTTCTTATCTTTTCCCTTTCATTTTCCAACTATGTTAAACAACTATGTTAAACATTTTTTCCCTGGGATATTTCCTTTATCTTTCAGGTTGTCTAAAGAGTTTTCATTTCTACTACTATTATCTTTATATATATATATAATTTCTAAATTCTCCTTGCTTTCCTTAATAGCATCCTGAATGTCATTCAACTTTTTTTGTCTCTGAGATTAAAAACTGTAATTTTCCACTACAATGATGTAAAGTAATTAGCCTCCAACTAATAAAAATAAATGAAAAAAAAAAAAAAACTATAATTTTTCTGAGAACCTGTGACCTCAGTCTCTTTAGCTCATTCTCTTAGGCTGGGCAGATCCCCCAAAGGAATATTCCCGGCTCCTTTGCCTGGAGAGTCTGAGCCTAAAGGCCAGTAATCTGGGCGGGGCGGGGGCGGGGGGGGGGGGGGGGGTAGGAGAGGGCTCTGCTGGGGGTGGGGGATGGACAGGTCTCCTCTTTAATATGTAAATATTTCCGACTGTGCCTGCATGCTCCAGTCCAAAGAATGTTCAACCCTTTCCAGAGGGAAAAACCCCAGTTTCTCCACTGGAGAAGAGTAGGCATAAGTTGTTCAGATGGGGAGCCCTGGGGATCCAACTGCTTAAACATACTTTCAACTCCTGATTTTAGCTTGACCTCACCCCACGTTGGAGGTAGCACTTGGTGCTGTCAATATTTTGGAGGTTCTATGGTATAAACTGGGACCAATGGGTTTATCCACCCCACTACCATCTTGCAATTCTTCCTTCCCATATCTGCTTAATTAGTTAGCTCTCTTTCACTGGATTTTTAGTTTTTAATGTTTTTGTTGTAATTTTCTCCTCTATTTGTCCTTGAAGGTGAATGTGTGTGTGTGTGTGTGTGTGTGTGTGTGTACATATACAAGATCAAATTTACTGTTGTTTTAGAGTGGCTTGGAGAAAAAGGAAAAGTAAATGCAGGTGTGCAATGTACTATCATTTTCCAGACCATTTAAACTTTGACTCTATTTTTTAAACTTAAAAAACAAAGTATCAGATTGGAATCATAATTTAATGAGCAAAAAACTGCTTTCAAAGAGCAGTACTAGTCTACCCTTGTGCTTAGAGTGGTCCAAGTGGCATGTGTATTGATCGAGGGAAAGGTCTAAAACAGAAAAGCATCTTGAATTCAGACAAGCATGTCATCTAAATCACCCTTGTGAGCAAACCTAACTGAGCCTGCTTCATTCCATTTTTTCAAACAATGAAGACCTTGAACTTGGCAATTAGGCAAGTTTGAACCTTGAACTTGAATTAGGCCTTGAACTTGAATTAGGCAAGATGACAAGGTTGGCTGATAATTTTGAACTGCCTATTTCTACAACATACTTATGAAAATATGTCAGAACACACTTAGAATAAATTTTCAACCATGGCCAAATTCACTGCCAAATAAGACACTCAATTTCAGGCTGTTTTCCTCTCTCATACAATTACGCTTTATGGAGTAGCAGTTTCTTTATTAACTAAATAAAAAAGCAAAGTTATGAAGAAAGCACGTCACTCATCTGGTACACATCTAAGTCAACTGTTTTATTATTATTTTTGTTCAGGAGCACTGAGTAATATAAGGGAATCAATGGTAATGTGTTACTGAAAATATAATTGATTTATTTCTTTTAAAAACTCTTTTATTAAGTTGCAGGATATAATCTCATTTGCGTGTCTATGTGCACCTATGTGTAAGCCCAGGCATAGTTACATACACACAAAAAATGTCTAAAAGGACTTACTCTACCTGCTTTAGAGTGGCTACCACTGGGAGTGGGTTGGTCAATTAATTTTTAATTCTATACTATGAAATGTTAACATATCTTATTTATTATTTTTCAATTAAAAAAACCACTTTTGCTCATCAGAGTTATCATATATACAACAAGGATTAAAAAAAAAATACCGACAGCCAATATCAGCACATCTGCCTGCACTACTCGCTCAAGAGCAGACCCAGCTGAAGCCCAGGTCACTCAGAATGGAGAGTCACACCTGACAAGATCAGATTTAAACCCCAAAGGGGCTATTTTTCACTCACAGTGGGGATGTCAGAATGAATTAGATAAGCTATCTGTTTCAAACTTTGTGGCCTCCAAGCTTAAAAAAAATTATTATTTTTTAAGTCAAGCATCATTTCTCTTTAGGCAAACTAGACAGCATATTACCTACCAACCATAAACTCTGCCAACAAAGGTCTGTCTAGTCAAAGTTATGGTTTTCCCAGTAGTCATGTATGGATGTGAGAGTTGGACTATAGAGAAAGCTGAGCACCAAAGAATTGATGCTTTTGAACTGTGATGTTGGAGAAGACTCTTGAGAGTTCCTTGGACTGCAAGGAGATCCAACCTATCCATCCTAAAGGAGATCAGTCCTGAATATTCATTGGAAGGACTGATGCTGAAGTTCCAGTACTCTGGCCACCTGATGTGAAGAACTGACTCATTGGCAAAGACCCTGATGCTGGGAAAGATTGAAGGCAGGAGGAGAAGGGACGACAGAGGATGAGATGGTTGGATGGCGTCACCGACTCGATGGACATGAATTTGAGCAAGCTCTGGGAGTGGGTGATGGACAGGGAAGCCTGGCATGCTGCAGTCCATGGGGTCGCAAAGAGTCGGACACGACTGAGTGAGTGACTGAACTGAACTAAACTGAAATGTACTGCTCTGCCCCAGACACCTCATCAGCTCTTCCAAACCATCGGGTGAAACAAAAAAATTCTTCACCGACAACTGTGAGTAGAGTGTCTCTGCCATGTCAGTCTGCTAGGCACATGGCAGGTGTTTTCCTGCCCCGGTTTGGGTTCTCACAAGAAATTTTTCTCCAAGTGTTGAAACTCTCCAATGTGTGTGTGATTTTAAAATCTTGCCTTTGACAGGAGGCTAGCATTCAAGAGAAGTTAACTTTCTCTTTCAGTTTCTCCCAGAACCTCTCAAATGCTTACCCATCACAGAATATAAAGTTCAGAACTCCCGTGACTTGTTAGAAAGGAGGGAGAGAGCATACTAGCACACACACGTGATGAAGCTACTCAGCCACTGACTTCCTAGACACCGCCACAGGGGTGGCTTCAAGCCAAGGTACCTCATCACGACTTTTTTTTTTCAACTGTTCCCTTTTTAAAGTGCCCTTTGGATTTCATTCTTGAGTTCCCTGTATAAAGGAAAGAGAACAAGAAAGCCAGCAAAGAAGTCCCCAGAGTTCCTCCACTCCTAACACCTGCAGAGTGACAAAGCAAAGTGGGATTGACAGCCAAAGTGGGGTCTCGAGCCCGTAACCTGACCCATGCTAGCCTAGCAAAAACTTCTAAATTCCATGGCAAACTCTATCAGTTTCAAGAAAACTAGCTTTTTGTCTGGAGGAAAAACCTTCTAACTCTGAATCAGCTAATGTCTCACTTCTGTTAATGATCTGCAAATTGCCTTGAACTCCATTCCAGCAAGTATTCCAGGGAGTGCTAAGTGCTCATCAGACCCTAATTTGTCCCCATTTCTCCCCCAGTATGGGCAGTGAAACCAAATCACAAAACATTTGTGCTGCAAGAGACCTGAAAAGTCATCTGGTTCAGCCTCTTGGCTTCACATGGAGACAGTGAGGACAGAGAGGAAGTACCAGAGCCCAGGCAGAGGCTGGGTCCCCATCTCAAGTCTGAGGGTCCCCTACAGTTCTCATCACTGGAGCTCCTGCTGCAGTCTTTTCCCGTGTCTCATTCTATCTTCCTATACAGTCACTGATTTGATGGTGCCTTTAAAATAAGGTAGTGGCTTCTCTTCACTGTTATCAAGATATATTCACTATAAAAAACTGTGAAAATACAGCTCTTTTTTTCTTTTTCCACTTATATAACTTGCACGTGCTTATTTGTACTGAACTTGGAAAGTACAGAATGGTATAAAGAACCAGGAAAAAAAAAAAAACAAAACAGAACCCATAATCCTGCCACCTGGAGGTCCCCATTGTTAACATTTTGGCATATTTCCTCCCAACAGTTTTTCCTAAACATTTCATGTAATTATTATATTGCATGTATACTTTTACACACTGCTTTTTTATTTCACTTAGATATTTTTTCTATTGGGTTCAAACAACCCTGCATATGTGTATTATATTTCTCTTCCTTCAGCAGGAACTCATTTATCTGTCAGAAGGGTAATCTGAAACTGAAATTCATGGTCTCAGTTTTATTCTGTGGTTTTGGAGTCTTTGGGGTCTGTTTTATGGAGGTTGTTTTGAAATTATTTTGCTGCCAAAAAGTTGTATGTACTTTCTTCTGTCTGTTTACTTGGATCCAGGAAAACCTCCCACTTAAGTGCTGTCTGGCCATATCCTGCCCAACACAAGCCAACATCAATACACGTGGATATTTGCATTTGAAATAAGATGCACATTGAAAGTGCCCATTTTAAAAGGGAAAATTACACTGATGTAAAAATAAAATTCCATTATATTAAATAAGGCCATAATTGAATAGTCATGAAGATTCAACTTTCTATCCCCAAAGCAAGAACAAACAGGAGATAAAACGTTCCTCCCCACCCCACATTCTTGGGGTCTAGGCCCAGGCAGTTTCCACTTCAGAAGCATCTCTCTCATGATTCTTACTCAACCCTGGCTGAACAGCACTGAACAAAACCACGACCCTTTCTTTTAAAACCAGGCAAGGGTTCACTTGTGCATAAAGGTGAAAGCACAGAGTAGGCCCAACATTAGCTCCCAGGCGTTCATGCCACGTTGAGCACATGGAAATGTCTGGAGCCTTGTGGGAGAGATCCACTGCTGGAATAAACAGCATGTCAGTCAGTGACTTACCTACAATAGTCATCAGAGGCCCAGTTTTTGTCTGAGTGGAAAGACTATGCTCTTAAAATCCACAAGTGAAACCAATTAAAGCCATCTCTAACAATCTGATCTCTGCCGATATTCTATCTGTATATTTAAACTGGTCACACTACAATTAAAATGGAGACAGACAACATGTGTGAAGCAAGACCATATGTCAATGACATAAAGGTCTGCAGATACTCAGGCCAGTTCTACTGGATGGAGAACATGGCATTCAGCAGTGCTGTAAATAATGTGAAAGTCTGGACTCTACAACTGCTCTTTTTCCAAAGGCTGGTCAGTAAAAAATGGCCTTTTGATGGAAAGGCAGCATGACAGTCCCTCCCAGCCCTCCATCCTCCTGTCCTCTGTGGACAAGATAAGAGATCACTCAGAATCAGTGATGAGCCAGCTCACCTCCCGGGTGAGCTGGTCTTGAGCTAAGCACTCTGGTCCAGGGGTCTATGCCACCACTCAAAGTTGAGATACAATAAAGGCCAGTGGAAGTGACCGTGGAACTGTTAGTCCCTTAGTCGTGCCTGACTCTACGACCCCATGGACTGTAGCCCACCAGGCTCCTCTGTCAATGGAATTCTCCAGGCAAGAATACTGGAGTGAGTTGCCACTTCCTTCTCCAGGGGAACTTCCCGACCCAGGCATCTAACCCAGCTCTCCTGCATTACAGGCAGATTCTTTACTGAATCCTGGTTTTAGCCACCAGGGAAGCCCCAGTGGTCTTCAATAATCCATGGCACTTGAAGACCCATCTGCCAGGTGAGGATGTGGTGATGCTGTCAGCACTTCCCACGGGGCTCATTGACCACTAACAGTACCAGATGTGTTTCCAGCTCACTCCTCTTTCCATCATGGCCACTGAGCTACAAACATTTAAACCAAAGGGATTTGGGAATACATATTTGAGAGAAAAAAGTTAATGCTGAAAAAGGCTGTGTCTCTCGTTACTGCTGAGTGCTGATCTGTACTGCTGACTATGTGGCCTAGTTTAAGAGAGTCTGAGAATCTCTGCTCTCAGTGAACAACTCTAGTAATCCATTTAGGCATTTCCAACCTGTGCAAAGGAGATAACACACAGCATCCCATGACTGCGGTTACGGAAGCAGTCTGGCCAAAGGTAACTGGCTGTACGGTGACTACTATAAATGACATTTATTCCCCAAGTTTATTTTTAGAGTCACACATCATCTGTTTGAAGTATGAGCTTATCACCTTTGCTAGGGAAATCTGATAACTTCTTGTTCCTGATGTTGCCATTTCCAACCCTGGAAGATACCCCAAGCAACAAATGTGTGTCATTGGTGTTTTAGAATAATTACCTGCAAGCTGTTGTTCAGCAAATCAAAGTCACTGTATCTCCTAACAATCTGGAAGAAAGAAAACAGTGGTATTTTGACTCAGCACAAGGTATCGATTTTCATTTCCTTATTTAATACTTATTGGCATTCTAGAGTCAAGGCACTTGCATTAAGGGTAGCAGAGCTTATACCTGGAGCTTAACTTGTTTCACTTGGCAGCCCCAGAAAACAGACCAAGCAGTGTCCCAGAGTTGGCTGGGCCGTGGGAAACTAGTTAATGCCAGCCAAACTCGCAAGATGCCAACAGGTAAGAGAGAAGGATGATGTTTTGAGGGTGAATAGCCCTTTAATTTTTTTTTTCAATTAACTAGGCACCTAGTTAACTAGAGAGATGAGTTAATAATTTACAAAAAAAAAAAAAAAGATGTTTAACTGAACATGAAATCAAAGTAAATGGATGTAGACAGTTTTGAAGCTATTCCATCTTTGCCCTGAATAAAACCACCCCTCTTTGAGATCACACCAGTTTAGAGGCTGGATGCACCTGCTGGCACCACCCTTCACCAACTCCCCTCCTGGCTAACAGTCCACACCCACTGTCCACACCCATTGTCCACACATTTTCTCTTAGTTATGTTGATGCCACTGATTGCTAAGTCACTTCAGTCGTGTCCACCTGTGTGCGACCCCACAGACAGCAGCCCACCAGGCTCCCATCCCTGCAATTCTCTGGGCAAGAACACTGGAGTGGGCTGCCATGTCCTCCTGCCACTGATTAGGCCCAGCAAATTACACTAGCTCTTCAGTCAGAGGGGAAAGAAGCTATTTGGCTTTCAAAAAGTTTTTCTAATGTTTATTGATGATTCTCAAATATTAGTGTGTAGGAGAATTACTTGAAGATCATTGAGGACCCTACTCACCCAAAGGGAAACAAATTCAGGAGGTTAAGTATCTACATTTTTATTAAGTATTCCCCAGGCCTCTAAAGCACTGGATTTACAAGACTACATAAAAGGTTGATTTTTCTGGTAGGACACTGTCCTTGGGCCTGCTTGGTATTCATATATATCAAAAAGTTAAACATGAGGCCATACCTAATAAGTGCAAGGGAGCAAAAGGTGGCACAGAGAATACTTGAATTCTAACCCTGTTCTGTCACGGACTTCAGTATGATCTTGGACTAGTTACTTGACTTTTGAATGTAAAATGAGGCTAATGTGATGGCATAGAACTGGCTTTAACGGGCTAAGTGAATTAATGTGCTTGAACCAGTGCCTAACAATAAATCCTCAGTTCAGTTCAGTCGCTCAGTCGTGTCTGACTCTTTGCGACCCCATGGACAGCAGCACGCCAGGTTTCCCTGTCTACCACCAACTCCAGGAGCTTGTTCAAACTCATGTTCATCGAGTCTATGATGTTACAATTATTCCAACTAAAAGTAGTTAGAATTTTCAGGCAAATACAAGACCAAGTACGAGCCTTTGAGGTCAAAGACTGCTTAAGGTGAAAGGTAAGGTTCAAGCTGGGCTGTGAAGGACAAGGTAAGGTTTTTGGAAGACAGAACGCGAACGTCACTGTAATCACTAGAGCAGGAAAGAAATGGCTCCTGTACAGAGTTCAGCCTCTCTCTGCAAGTCAACTGGGATGGAAAGGACCTCTAGTTCTACAGAGTAAGTTCTCTTTCTCCGGGGCCATCCATCAGGAAAGCAGGCCTTGGAGCTGTAAACAGACATGACCTGCAGTCAGTGAGGGACCTAGCACTAGAAACGGCCCATGACTAGATTTAAGAGTCCATGAAATGCAGCATCCGAGCTGCACAATGTCTCGGGCACTGTCTCATCTTTCAAACTGGTGTGGGACCCCTACCCACACCCTGGCTTCAGGGGAGGAGGCTTGAATCATTCAACACGAGGAACAAAACAAGTCACCTGCCTACTCTGCTTACTCTGTGTCCAACTGGGGCACACATTCCTACTCTCTGTGGTAACATCATACATGAATTAAACCAAACAAATGAGAACAGGAAAGCCTTTTGTAAGAGACGTCTTAGAGCTAAAGTATTATAAAAGAAATACGATGTATATTTATGTGTGTTTTAGTTTTTGCAGATTTTTAGATGATTCCAGGTCAGAATTTTGTTTAAATATTTTTCCGATGACAAAAAACAAAAAAAACTCACCTGCCAGCTATTTTCTACAGAAATTCCTCTTTGTACCCGAATGATATATTCCTAAAAAAGAACAAAAAAGTCTCTATTATAAAACCCAAATCAGAGGATCAAAAATATGATGTGAAAGCATCAGATAGAGCAAACTTCAGAAAAGAGTACTAGAGACAGAGAGGGGCATAAAGATAAAAGGGTAATCTCATAGCAAGACACAGGAGTCTTGTGGCATGTGGGATCCCAGTTCCCCAGCCAGGGATGAACCTGAGCCCCCTGCATTAAAAGCATGGAGTCTTAACCACTGAACCACCAGGGAAGTCCCCAAGACACAGCATGTGTATGCGCATTCAAACACCAGAGCTGCAAAACATGTGAAACAAAAACTGACAAGGACTGGAAGAAGAAACAGACAAATCCACCATCAGAGTCGGAGATTTCAGCACCTCTCACGCAGCAACTGATAGAACAACAGAAACCCAGTAAGGATACAGAAGAATTCAACAAAACCACTACTGATGAAAAATTAATCAACAATGAAAATTTTTATTGAAGCCGACCTGGGGACTATAACCCAGGAGACATTCTTTTAGAAAGCTCTTGAGGACTGTTGGGCCTGTTAGAGGCCAAGGCACAGTTCTATAAGTTTTGTAGACAAACAGTTATTCATCAAATGACGTATCAACCGTTTACACAACCCAGATCTGCAGGTAAGAAACAAGTCGTACAAAGCAAGTCGTGGTCATGGTTGACTTCTTACTAGAAGAAGAAGGAATGTTGTTTCCTAAACAGGTCTAGTTAATGCATAAGCAGAATACATACTATAGGGGAGGGCTCTGGGAGGCCCAAATGGGCTGAAAAAAATTTTACATCTCATTTTTTTTCTTGTCCTGCCATAAAATATGAACTTCATTTCATCATCATCAACTAACAAATGTAATCAGCATTTATAGAACACTCCATTCGACAACAGCAGAATATATATTCCTTTCAAGAGGATATACAGATGGCAAATAAGCACAGAAAAAGATATTCAACATTACCAGTCATCAATCAAATGCAAAGTAAGACTACAATGAGATATCACTGTATTTCTATCAGAACAGCTCAAACAAAAAAATAATGATAACACCAAATGCTGGCTAGGGAAATAGCCAAATAGGGAAACTGGATCACATAAATTAACGGTGGGAATTTTAAAAATGGCACTGAAACTCTATAATATGGTTTGGCAACTTTTTTTAAATTAAAACATGCAGCTATCATTATGACCCAGCAACTGCACTCCCGGACATTCATTCCAGAGAAACAAAAACTTACGTCTGTACAGTAACTTATACATGAATGTTCACAGCTATTTTATTGGTAACAGCCCCAAAGTAGAAGAACCAGATGTCTTTAAACAGGTGTATGTTTAAACTTTGCTACTTCCATACCAGGGAATACTACTCAGCAACAAAAATGAATAAATTATTGATATGTGCAACAAACTAGATGAATCTCTGGAGGATCCTGGGTGTGTGTGCTTAGTCGCTCAGTCATGCCAGACTCTTTCAACCCCATGGGCTGTAGCCCGCCAGACTCCTCTGTCCATGGGGATTATACAGGCAAGCATACTGGAGTAGGTTACCATGCCCTCCTCCAGGGGATCTTCCCAACCCAGGGATCAAACTCAGGTCTCCCCCATTGCAGGCAGATTCTTTACCATCTGAACCACTTAGGGAAGCCCCTCTGGAGGATTACACAGAGTGAAAAAGGAAATCCCCAAAGATTATAAACTACATGTCTCCATTTATACAGTATTTATGAAATGACAGAATCACAGATATGGAGAACAGCCTACTGGTTCTCAACAGTTATGGCTGGGGTAGCAGGGTGTGTGTGGAAGGGAATCAGGTGTGGCTAGAGAAGGGCAAGGTGATGTGCTATGGTTTGAATGTCTTGGTCCCCACAAGGTTCACATGTTGAAATACTAACTCCCGAAAATGATGGTATTAGAAAGTGGGAGGACCTTTGGGAGTTACTTAGGTCATGAGAGCAAAGCCCTCAAGAATGAGATCAGCACTCTTATAAGAGAGGCTCCAGAGGCTCCCTCACCCCTTCCGCCACATGGGATCGTTTGAGAAGGTGCTAGCTCTGAACCAGGAGGAGGACCATCAGAAGGCAGCCATGCTCGCACCTTAGTCTTGGACTTTCAGCCTCCTGAACTGTGAGAAACAAATCCATTGTGGATCGGCCACTCAGTTCACGGTATTTTGTTAGAGCAGTCTGAATGGACTAAGACATGAGCATGTCTGGGCCAGTGGAAAGGTGCTGTATCTTGACTGGTCAATGTTAATATTTTGGTTGTGATACCATATCAACTTTAGCAAGACACTACCAATGACGGAAACTGGGTAACAGATATGGGATCTCTGCAATGTTTCTTACAACTGTATGTGAATCTGCAATTATCTCAAATCTAAAAAATTAACCTTAGGCATTCAAAATTAGTTTAGTAGAGTCAGAGGACTAAGATCAATGATTTTTCCTGCTCAAAGTTTGCATATAAGCTTTTCGGTTAGAAAAGGCCTTGGTTAAGAAAACAGGTAAAAAGGTAGTATAGGTATGCAGTGATAGCATTTTCCCAAGAAACCAAATCCAGTGACACCTCCCCCTCCTCCCAAGCTGCCTGATCATTGGAAGCTGCCTGATCCTGGGGAGCGAGGAGAAGCGAGCGAGTTAAAAATACCATTCCCAAGACTTGCTAAATCAGAATCTACAAGATAGAAATTAGGAATCAGAAGTTTTCATAGCTTCCCCAGGTAATCAAATAAGCAGGAAACAAGAGACCTCGCTCAGCCTTCTGCTTACACACACAGGGAATTATGATGAAGCACAGAAAAAAACAGTAACTTTTTTCCCCTCAAATGCTCAGAATTGTTTTAACATTTTGGGATGGTATGATTCGGGTATTACTTACAGTAACTACTCAACAAATGCTTAACAACACAGGACTCAACAAATCCTTTCTACTGAATTAATTCTGAATTAAATAGGTTATGTAGAAAATAAAGCCAAATAAGCATTGTTAACTTGGCAGCTGAATTTTAAAATAGATCTTATTACACTATCATTCATTTCCACTCTGTTTAGTTTGCAAAGGTTGATAAAGTTCACGTAAGCAGAAATTTCTGCCTACACTGGACTATGTTAAGAATGGTACATTCAACAATATCCACTCAATTACGAGTGAATCAACTACGTGGCTGGCACCCTGCTTAGCTGGTTTCACGTCAGGATATAATATAAATATTTCAAAACTGGCTTGTGTAGTATGGCAAATCTCTTAAGCAATATGCCAATGCAATTATTTCTGAATACACAAAGATAAAATGCTAAAAATACCTGGCTTTCTTTTTGGAGATCAGTCTGTTAGCTCTGACATTTTCTTCTTTTCTCAGGGTTCTCTTACTGGCAGATTGTCTGTGCTTTTACATTCTTATAGTAAAGCTAAAATCAGCACATCTAATTGAGTACTTCCAAACAACTACATGCAAACAGGTTTTGATGTTCAAATCGGGGGGAACTTCTCAAAAATCACTTCAAGCATCCATTGCTTCACTATGATCTGTCAGAGGAATAATACTTTCAAAATTCCAGTTCAAGGGCTCAGTGGTGGCTTGGCAAAATTTGGCTCAGGCAAAATTCCCTGGTGGCTCAGTGGTAAAGAATTCGCCTGCCAGTGCAGGAGACACAAGGTCTATCTCTGATTGGGGAAGATTCCACATGCTACAGAGCAACTAAGCCTGTGCACCACAAGTATTCGCAACTGCTGAGCCCACGTGCCATGACTACTGGTTCCCGCATGCCTAGAGCCCATGCTCTGCCACAAGAGAAGCCACTGCAATGTGAAGCCCGTGCATCGGGACTGCAGAGCAGCCCCACTCTCCACAACCAGAGAAAAGCCCGTGCAGCAACGAAGACCCAGCACAGTCAAAAATAAATAAATAAGTTGCAGTTCAATGCTGAGCGCTTGGCAGATGTGAAATGAACACTGCTGTCCTGCTTTATATACTCTGAGTTTAAAGTTCAGACCTGTGTTTTACAAACATGTTGCTGCAGATGATAAACATCACGGGAGCAGTTACCACGTCCCCATCCCTGCGCTTCTGTCCATGCTAGGGGGAGAACTCCCATAGTCCGACTTCACTCTTCCCTCTGCGGACACGCAGTTTAGGGGTTTTGTTTTGTAACTTGCCTATAAAATGGCATGTGATGATGTGGAGGGGAAACATCTGGCAAAAGGGAAGCAGTAACTACAAGATGGGGCTGGGGTCTTGAGGTCAGAGGGGTCTCCCTGGTAGCTCAGCTGGTAAAAATAATCTACCTGCAATGCAGGAAACCCCAGTTCGATTCCCGGATCAGGAAGATCCCCTGGAGAAGGGATAGGCTACCCACTCCAGTATTCTTGAGCTTCCCTGGAGGCTCAGCTGGTAAAGAATCTGCCTGCAATGCTGGAGACCTGGGTGGGGAAGACCCCCTGGAGAAGGGAATGACTACGCACTCCAGTATTCTGGCCTGGAGAACTCCACAGACTGTACAGTCTATGGGGTTGCAAACAGTCAGACTGGGATGTCCCCAAATGACATCCTCATTAACGTTTCTGCCAAGACACTCTTTATGTTGACATTAGTGTTTTTTCCCAAAGAAGGTGGATCTGCCCCAGCGATCTGGCAATGCCTGGAGACATCTCCGGTTGTCACAGCATGAGGAAATGCTGTGGGAACCCGAGAGCCAGAGGCCAGAGATGCTGCTAAACACATGCGAAGCACACGAGACAGTCTTAGAGCGAGAGACAGCCTGGCCCTGCTTCTCGACAGTGCTGATGGAGAGCCCCAGGTCCAGATTCATCAAGCGAAACAGGCCACTCCAGTCCATGGAGGCTGGGGCTGCAGCGTATGGAAGGGGGAGCTCTGCCATCGCCTGTCCTCTGCTGCGGCCTGCTCCTCACACCGTGGGTGACACGTGCTCACCCACCCAGAGGGCCCCCTTAGTCACTGGTGACCTCAGAAACCTCACTGTGCTTC